TCCCTCTGCCTCCCCAACAGTTATTAAAAAATCAAGTAGCATCCTACAGTGCTAAAAGAAAGAATGGAACAGTAATGTTCCTCCTAATGAACACTCTCCAGCAAAGAGGAGCAATCACAGAACTAAAGCTGTAATCATTCCTCACTGGCAGCCAGTTTTACTGCCTGACTGGCAGCAGGCAGGACCAAACAATGGTGGATGGTTTGCACTTACTGCAAACTTACCCTCAGAGGGTGGAATTTTCCCCGCTGTCTTCTCTGTTTGCTGTTCTGCATTTAGGTCTCGTTAGGTCACAAGAACACTTTTTCCTCCCTGACTTTCTTTTAATCCCAGCATTCTCACTTTTTGTGAGCAGACAGGTTGATGGTTGCTGCAAGGTCCCATCTACTTCAGTCTGGACCAACAAAGGGAACTTGAAACTGCTTTTATTTTTATGTCTATTAGAAGAGTAAGACCATCACTTTTTTCATTCTTATGGCAGATGAACAGCATGGCTCCAAGACCATGATAAAAACTTTCCTTTGGGGATTCTCACTCACAATATTTTATGGCAAACAAGAAATTTGTGAGTATTTTCCTTGTAACTTTCCTTGCTGGTCCATGAAGACACATGTATTCCTCTGTCCAAGGGATACCTGGATGATGACCCAAAAAAAAGAAAACCATTGGCATGGATTACCATGCAACATTTAGAGCAATAAAGGACAGCAAACCTTCCTTCTTTGAAATGTACTAATCAATGTTAGCTACCATGCATCACAAAAAACCTCAAGCAGGAGAAAGTGTTTTTCTCCCAGCAGGAAAAATAATAAAACCATGCAGGATCAGCAACAATAGAAAGATCACCTATTGAAACAGTTTTTTAAATTGGCAGCCAGCTGATAAGTACTGCCCTTTCACCTGGCCCAGCTGGAGAACAGGGGAGAATTTAAAAGGTTCCTCCCTTCCCATAGTTTGCGTTAATGAGATTTTCAGGACTAAAGTATCTAGGTAATTTTGACCTAGAAAAACATAATCAAATGAACAAACAAATGACAAATAAGTAAACACATATGTTTTCCTTTGTGTTTCCTTTTCAGGTGTGAAATAACTTAAATTATTCCAATATACTATTTGCAGCATCAGGAGAGAAGAGGGAAGAAAAGGAGACAAATTCTTACAGCCCACTAGGATCAGTGCCCTGGTTATACATATGAACACTTTAAATCACACTCTACTTTCAAATCCCCATCTGACATATCAAGTAACCCAATGTCTACATCAAGTAGCCCAATGTCTACATTTTACTTATCCCACTAAAAGGCAGTGAAAACACAGAAAACACAGCACTATGCAAAATACATGGGAACAGATGCACACACAAGATATTCCCTCCCCTTCTTTCTCTTTTTCATGTCCCTTAAAATAATTTAAAACCAGTTCAATTATTACAAATAATCAGCAACCATCATATTTTTCTCCTGTCTCTATAACATGACTTTTTTTCAATAGTTATTATGAAGTGGTTTAAGAAACTTCTAAGAGCAGGTTTAGCTCAGAGAATGGTTATGCTCAGGAGTAATGGCACATTCCATGATATCAGAAATGGTAGTGAGACCAAGATGTTTAGAAATTAAGTGATAAAATGTACAAAAGGTATGCATGTCATAGGCCAAACCTGGTTCACTGATTATAATGACAAAGCAAAATATACTTAAATATATACAAAATATATTCGTGCCCCCATACTCTCCTTTTGATTGGTCTGTGTGAATGGATCCAAGAGACAGAAGACTACATAAGCACAGGTTTGTGGAACTAATCCTACATTCTTTGTAAACATACCTGGTAAGGAATGCAATTTTCACTAAAGACTCATCTTCATTTTACTATTTTGTCAGACTAAAAATAATGCAAGCTAAAATATATTTTTATTTAGACTCAGGTACATGGCATAGTAAGTCATGTATTTTTTCAGCAGATTCCTTTTTGCACTGCAAGGATTATTTCTATAAACATTTTTTTTAGATTTAGCTTGAGTCATGTGGATGCCAACAACATAATTAGAATAGAATTGATACAATAACAACCCACATAGTGTCTGATTATATTTCAATAGCCTTTTTTTTCCCCTTAAACAAGCTTCTATTAGTAACATGAAACTGGAATATGCCTAGGGAAACAGGCACAGTGCTCTGCAGATGAGCTGGGGATTCTCAAAGAAATGCTGAAGTTTATAAACTGCAGAATGGAGAATCAATTTTGCTGCATGGAGAATACTTGATTACAGGAACATTTATGCCAAGAAAATGACATTCTGAAAACTCCATGAAAAACTGACACTGGCATCCCACTGTGAGGCTTTTTTTGCTTTCCATAAATAGACTGCTGGGCCCAGCTATTTATTGCCTGTGATACTATGAAAGGAGGAGCAGAGTGAAGGTTTGTGAGGGTATTCTGTAGGCTGCATTCATTGAGAAAGTAGAAAACACATGTACAACACTTAAAACAGCTCAAAGTCAGCAAAAAAGGCCTGGAGAATTTGCCAAGCACACAGATCTGTGAGCTGGAGGAACAGGTGAAAAGAAGGTGAGAGGACAAGGCACAAAGAAACAAAAAATATTCAAGCTATCTTATAAACCTCCTTATCAAAACTGGGGATCATGGAAGGCAATTACGAAGGCAGGAGGTTTTTTTGAGGCGACGTAAAGCAAGTCCTTTACAGGATGGATGCAAATGGATGCAAACTCATTTTTAAAGCTCAATCCCTGATAGCCCAAATAGCCCCTCAAACAGCCTGGCTGTGAAAGGGTGCATGGCTACTACAGAGAAACAACTCCTTGCCCAAAGCCAGCTAAGCAGGCACAGTCCCTCTCTTATTCCTTCTCTATAAAGAAATTTGGGAAGCCTGAAGCCATCAGGCTGTCAGAGGTGGCATGACAAGGATGCCAGAAGATTTAAGTTAATATATACTAGTGTCTCTAGTATATATAAGTATTGAGGAGGGAGGGAGGAAGATGGAGATGACAGAAGATGGAATTAAAAAAAACAATTCAAGTGACTCCCAAAGCCAAGGGAGAGGGAATGAGAATCAAAAGGGAAACCCCAGAGTGGAACCACAGCCACCCAGGAGAAAGCACTAAAAGTAACAGTAAATAGTAAGAGAACTTTCCTATACTTTCAAAAAATTTAATGTTTATTTTTGTCAAGACTTTGTAATAAACTTCTGCAAAACCTTTCATAATGTACTATACTGAAACCCAGTACTAGAACAAAAATAGATCTTTTGAGAAATTTGATCTGTGACACCTTCACTCATATACAAGTCAGTACAAGACTCATGGAAGTAAGCAAATCTAAGCATTCTATCAAGTACACCTAACAACAGGTTAAAAAATAATATGCAAGGGCAGATTTTACAAAGATTATTAGTCTAACTTGGCTAATGAGCTAATGAAAGATAATAAGCAAATTTTCTGTATGATTGTACTTTGCTAAAATATAGGCAAAGGAAAAATATGATCAGCCTCAGGGGTTTAAGAAAACAGTTAATAAAAATCTAGTTAATTTTTTTATTATGAAAACAAACCTATCTTTCTTAATGGTAAAGACACAGTACTCATTGTAATCAATTTTTTTATAGCTTCTTTAAAGGAAAACTTATTGATGAAGATAAAATTTCATGCTTCTTAGCGGGCTGAAATTGGCTGATGATGGAAGCTACAGAATTCATTGCTTCAATTAATAAGCAATAAGTTAAGAGCAAAACTCTGCAAAAATTATTTCTAATCAGATTTTTTGCTTTGCTTGGTGGATAATTTTCAGATCACATTTCAAAGGAGACATTGTAATAAAAAACGGATTAAATTGAAATATTGTATAACTATTTAAAGCTGCAGAGCTCTAGCTCCTCTTAAATAATACTGACACAATGAAGCTGATGCCAGTGAGTGCTAATGTCAGCATTAAAATGTAGACTTTGTTTTCTTCTTGGCCCTACCATTGGAACACCACAGCTGTCAATCCCCAGCATATGAAATGCCCTGCCAGAGGAAAGAGGAGATCCTGTTCTGGGTACAAACCATTTCTGGAAAGGCTTCCAGGGGAGCACCAGCCTCAGGGTCACCTCTGACTGCTGCCTCACTGCAAAAAGGAAATAATACAAGAGCACTTTCATTTACACAGCACAACCAAATTGGAAAAGTTTAAAAGATTAAAAGAACTCTTACTTCGTTAAGAAATTCATCTGAGAAAGATGAATCCAGAAGTTTCCTTGACAGTAATTAATCCCTTTTCAGCTTTGCATGCAGAAAGAATTAACTGGAATTTCATTACAATGCCTGTTATTTAATCAATTATGTTGGTAGAGAGGTTAAATTTACTATCAAGTGAGAATTAAAAGGAACTTAAAAGGGTGTAGGAGGAACCGCAATAATGAGATATTACAGTGCTCTTTATGCAAGCCTGAATTTGAAGAAACCATTCATGAAAACATTTTAGATTGCTACTAATTAATCAGATTGATACATATAGTCTCAAAACCACATCTGACAGCTAATGGTACTTCTCAAATAGCCTGATCCAAAGCCTATTGAAATCAAGAGAAAGATTGTCATTGACTTTGATTATGCCACACAAATGTAATTCCCATAAGTATAGAGTGCCCAGTAAATGATCTGCATTACAACAATCATATTGTTATAACAATATTATTGCATGTTTCTAATGACTGGTCTATTATTTATAAGATGCCAAGCATTTGTTGAGCAGTCTATACATTTAAGAGACCCATTTTGAGGGCACAATGCAAAGTTGGTGAGAGCCTTTACAAAGATTTTAATAACTAATTCCATGGGACTAATTTAAGCACAGGATGTCAAGCATGTATGAGAATGACAGAGGCATTTCTCTGAGGCAAAAATTATTTTTCCCATATTTTTATGAACAGTATTTAATTTTGCAGAAATATTAATTTCTTTTTCAAAGCAACCCACTCCATTTGTTTTTCCTAATTTTTCTAAACACAGCCCCATGAAATAAATACAGACAGGTTTTGTCCAACTGAGAGAAAATAAAGTCCTGATAGAGGTGCAGGGTTCTAGGATTCACTTTGATTCGTCTTCTCTGTTCCTTTCCTTCATCCACCCTCCTTTTTCTTAATTTTGCACATGGAAACTTTTCCTTTCCTTATCTATAAATAATGATGTTTCCCAGCAGAAATTCATTATCTTACATTAACCTATTGAGAAATTGTATATTAAAATTTCTTTGTGTAAGGGCAAATTACAGAGTATTTATGGAATCATGATCAGCAACAAAACCAAATCAGCCTACAGTATCCCTATTTTGTTCTATATTGGATATTGGTGGAAATTATCTGTATGTTTTTTGGTAGTATGATAATTGGTCATAATGATAAATTTGGTAATAATGATAAATTATTACAGGTCTTGACAGATACTTTTAAACAATAAGACTCTTGGAAGTTACAGAGGAGCTCACACTGACAGGATTTCAGGAAGAAACTGTGCTCATCTCTACCTGTAAGTAGAGAGGACAGTTACTGACATTTCTATAAGATGGATATTGGATAAAGTTTAAAATTATAGAGAGCAATTAAAAAGCTGTAAAAATTGACCATTCCTATAGCACAAGAGTATTTTCAGGAGTTTGTTGCATTCCAGAATCTCCTGTTTTCTAGCACCATACAGAATATCCTATCCACCTCCAAAAACAATAAGAAGGTAACTACAATGTGTTTACATAACACAACTCTGTTAATGTTATCATCTGAAAATGAACAAAATGAAAGGGACATTAAAAAGACAGTTAAACCTCAGAACAGAGTTTACAGACATACACTTGGAATACTGAATCAACAACAAAATTATGGCTTAATATTTCATTCTTCCACCATTTCAATTTATTGCAAGCTCAGGTAGTTTTGCATATCTATAGACAAAATGTTTTACAAGTGTCAGTCAGGCAGAAAGGTTGTCACAAGAATGGGGGAAGAACCTTTTTTTTCCAGTTTTTAATAATCAACAACCTCCGCAATGACCCAACACAATGGATTACTTAATTTACATATACAGCCTATAACTGTGGGACTGTCTCCTTTCTTTGTGTGTTCTTGCTGTTAGCAGTGGTTAACTGAAATTAAACTGTCATGGGCTTAACAGAAAATGTCATCTGACATGAAAAGAAATGTGCTGTTTCACTGGGGTGTGAAGCTGGAAAGCAATAGTATTTGTCTGGTATTATTTTCTTAAGACAAAAAGAAAAAACAAGCAAACCTCTACCAATTTCATTTTTTTTCCTAGGCTGACATCATCTCCCTAATCCCTTGGGCTTTTTTCTGCTGAGAAGGTTTCTTCAAACCTATCACTAGAAAACAGTTTGAAATTAAGCCATAATTCAGTAACTTGTTCTCTGTTTCCATTATGTTGCCAAATAGTTCATGACTTTCCCAAATATCTCTGTTGTAAGCAATTTTTAATACAGCTTACCTAGTCAAACACTGCCAACTCCCAGCCACACACTGTGAAACAGTAGCAATTAAGCTGCCTCCTGAAGGCTATTCCTACCTGGAAGTTCAAGATGGAGCTGATTTGACATGCATGCTGACATCCTCTAATTGAAGTGATTTTGCTGGAGAAGCTTACACTTACTAAAAAAAAAAAAAAAAAAAAAAAAAAGCCTTTTGTCTCTTTTTCTCAACTATTTGTCAAAAAGAAGAATAGCAATTTTCTCATAAAGTTTATCCAGGGTAAAGGAAAATGGACCTGTCTGAGCAGCAGTATCTGAACAACGTTCTACATTCAAAAAGCATTTAAAAATATGAGAAACATGAACTGTGTATGTTCACCCACTCCAATCTCCCAGTTTTGTATGTTCCATAAAATAGGATCTTTTGGAACATTATATACTAAATACTATAAGTGGAGCGAAAGCTCCTTCTGCATGTGTAAGACTGAGTCTCTTGAAACATTAACATTTTAAGAAAATCAAGCAATGTTTCTGCCAGTCTTGAGGAAACATATGTTACAGGAAAATTCAATGAAAGCACAAGATTTTTTTTTCTGTACATAAGTGACCTCAGAATACAATAAAATAAATAAAAAAGCACACACCTTCATAGGGGAAGTTTATACTGGAGGGGCTGAAGGCATCATTTCTCACATCGTTACAAAAGAGTTCTGGCTTTCAGCCTCATTGCCAGTGATACAGGCAGCTGAAATGCTTCAGAATGGAATTCTGTTTTACCTGGAATTATAGAGGAGGCTTTGGTTGAACACTGCCATAATGTTAGTTTATTCTGTTCAGTCCTTACCCCCTTACTTCATTTTATTATTTCACTTTGTTTCTTTCGTTCTTTTTTTTACACAAGTATTTCTTTACTGTGTGTCCTTCTTTTGCTCTCACCACTGCTCTTTTTATTCTATGACTTGCAGTGCTCAACATAATTAAGATAGCTAAATCAACATTACCAACCTACTCAAATGTTCTTGGCACAGTAACTATCATTTAAGATGTGTGTGTCCTACACAGCTTTGAGCTTTTTTTATTCTGGAAGGTCACTTCAAAGTCATCTCAGAATTACTGGAGTGTTTATTGATCTCCTAATCATTCTCTGTTTGCAATTCTTCAGCTGCCTCTCTTTGTGCTATTTTGTTATATTAGCTTAGCTATTTAATAAACAAAATAATATTTATAAAAAGAAGATTATAGAATCCCTAAGTTGTTCAAATGAAGACAACAGTTAATTTGCACTGAAATATGAGGATGGAGATAAAAGTAAGAAGCAGAAGTTTGATCTGCATGGCTGTGCTCTCCTGAACAAAAACAAAGCAAAGCAATAACAGCTTTTGGGTTTGAGTAACGTGGCTGCAAAGGTATGATTGCAGTCTAGAAATCTCAAGTTGTTTTTGCTAACTATATTATCCAGAACTATTTCAGACTTGGATTTGTTTTGCTTTTTGGGGCTTTTGTAGGTAATCCATGTTCCCCATAAAACCCCTCCTGATTATGAATTTACAGACACCAAGAAAGAGAATATTTCTTTAGAAAGGCAATTTGGTATTGATCCTTTAGGGTATTTCTGCTGTGATAAAATACATTCAACAAAGTAAACGAGACCAGAATTAGATTCACAATGCAAATATTTAAAGTTTTTTAACTACAATTTACCATGTGGTTCAGACAGCTCAACCCTGCATTTTAAGAAGTCAAGATTCTGTGCTGTAATACAGACAAGGTCTGGAGAGTAGTTGTTATTTTAAAGATGCACCCAGTGACCCCACAAGTTAAAGTTAAGATAAATGTCTCTGACCTCATTTGTAGTCTCTGGCACACTGCTAGCTATAACTTTTGCTGGCTCAGCAATCAATAAATATCATCCAGATTTTCAGTATTCCTCTAAAGGGAAAGAACACACCTCTCTGGTCCACCAGAGCACCTTTACTTCATGAGGAAGACAAGATATTTTACCTTAATTTTGGCAACCATTGTTCACTGCTGGCTTTGACTTCATTTGTACACCCATTATTCAATACAAAGCTCACAGTAGGGCATGACCTAAAATTGCATCCAGACCTTTTTTCCTCTAAGGGTAATCAAAGAATCCAAAAGGACCTAAACAATCCATGGTGCATTTTCTCTGTAGCAACACAGCAAATTGCACTCCCTGCCTTCTTGGTGTCTATATAGATTTAGCAAACATAACCCATATATCTCTACTTGATCTACATCTTTACTGCATTATCAAATAATACTACAGGCAGAATAGCTACCCATTGAAATGCTTCTCAGCACCTCCTTCTGTTTTAACATTGAAAAATTATGATTTTCTATGCAATTTTGCATAACCCCATGCTGGTTTAATCTCGATAATTTGCCCAAACTTGCTTCAAATGTTACTGATCTCTTTGTGGTCTCAAATGTTTAGCTTGGTTATTTGCAGCATTTTCAATTTCTGTGGCCTATAAGCTAACAGGCAGCCTTACAGAACAGATTATGGGAAAAGAAAAAAGCTGAAGAATATGATCTTGAGACATCCAGAAAAGCTGCAAAGAACTCCTTTGGGAAGAGCAAAGCAATCACTTGAGGTAGGAAAATTAAAAGCCTCCACATTTGTTTTGGCAATTATTTGGAAAACCAATGGAAGTGTTTAATTATTAATGGCACCAGCTAAACATAATTGTCTTCCCAATAAATCAGGATAACTCTATTGTAAAAATTAAACATTTGCAGTTATCCTGTATTGAGTAACTGTTGCCACACTGCAATATTAAAAAGTGACAAACTGGAAGGTGTTGGTGTGGTATATAAAGTGCTGTGATTTTTAAATTTTTGTTTTCCTACCCTATGAGAAGAACACGGGCTTCACACACTGGCTTTGGCTTAGGGAACACTTGCTGGAGTCCCTGTAGAATGTAATTTACATCATGATCAAACAAAACCATTTTATTTTTTTAATGAGCTCACTGAGCCAAGATGACTACCATGTGCAGATAGCAAAAGCATAGAGTTTTTTTGCTGTTTTGAGGTATTTTTTGAAGTTCATAATAATTTCTAATGGTCTTTCCTGCAGCTTTCATGGTAGTTATGTGCACAGCCATACATTTTATAGTACGTTTGTTTATTATTACTGGTAACAAACTCTACAGAGTTACATGAAACAACCACCTGGGCTGCAGGGTAGTATAAAAATTTCTACATTAGTGTTTTATTTCTCCATACTCTATGTTATTCACTGCTTATTACCATTCTCCATCCTATTTGATGTTTTTATCTTCACAATATTGTGCTGTTTATTTATTTGTTTTCATTCTTAATTGCTTTAATAGTCATTATCCCTTCAAATTACCTAAAATTTGACTGATATTTCCATTTGAAATGATGTAAGAATTTATGGGAATTTGTTTCCTTGCACTGTTATTTTTCTTAGCATTAGAGGGAACTGACTCTGCTTCAGGTTGCAGAAATGCCATGTATACCCAGAGCCCTCCCCTGTCAAGCTGGCTCAGGGCAGGAAATCCTCCTTCCTCTGCAAGGATCTGATTCCTTTGAGTTTGATTGAGAGCATCAATTTGGATTACTCAAGTGCTTAAACATCAGCATTCATTTATTTTCTTCTGAATCTGAAGTAAGAGATTCTGTAGATACAGCCAACAGGATCCATAGAAGGGGTAAAGGAGCCCAAATTCTGGCTCTGAAGTTGGCAGAATGAGTCAAAGGCTTTGGAAAGACTGACAGAAAGTTTCCTGCAGTCAATGGAAACTCATTCTCTGCAATGGCCTTTGCATCACAGCACAAATACTGAAACAATAACACTCGATGTGAAGGAAAGAAAATATCTCAGCACTGCAAGAGGAACTCTAAACTGTTCTAACTCGTACAGCTTTTTGAAAGGCTGCCTAATTCTCACTGACAAAAGGCAGTGATACAAGTAAGTGGCTCTACAGAAACACATCTTATTTTAAATCAAAGCAGATGAGTCATCTGACAATCTAGCTGTTGTAAAACAAAAAGAGAAATGAGAAAATTGCGTCAGTTCATCACTTGATGAGATTTTGTTTCATGTATTTTATTTTCAATTTCTGATTACCTCTGTTATTTATGTTTTTATAGACTGATTTCATTGGCTTACAGGCTGATTTTTAAAGATAAAATTCTAAATTACAATTAAGTTGAAACTGGATTTGCTTAAAAACAAACAAGAGAAGGAGGAAGAATTTCCTGTGTAATGGCTGACAGCAAAATTGTTTGAAGTAATGGGGTCCCATTTAAATACCAAGAACTTGGCAGACCTAGGAGAACTGAATTTGCATAGGCTATAAAATCTTAGGCGTACTGTGGAAGCTTGCTGGAGAGCTTCACAGAATATAAAACTTTCTGGCATTGCTACAAATCTTGATAAATTAATAGGAGAAAGCAGAACACTGCTCACAACTAATTTTCTTTTCCTGGTATGAGGTCTTCTTCTTTCTCCATCTCCCCCTGCTCCACATTTGGTGCCAAATCTTCCCTCTGTGCCCCTCTGTGCCTCCCAGTGAGCAATTCCCACTGATTCAGGAGATGCCTGCTGGTGAAGGCACAGCTGATCAACGTGGCTTTTTCTGCTGCCAAACTCCAGCCAATGAGCTATTCATGGCTCCAGTCCCTGTTTCTGTTCATTAGGCCACTGGGAATTGCATGAATCATTTTCGTTCCCTGCCGGGAAGCAATGCCAGTGTTTACTATTACTTATGCAAAATAATTTTCCAGAATCACTTTACAAATGCTGAATGCTCGGTTGACTTATAAAAACTGAAATGAATTAATAAGAAATAAATAAGCAGTCCCAACTGCATGGGATATCAGTTTTATGCACAAGATGAGAAAAAGGCTTACATATTTCCTCTAAGCTGGAATTACAATAACCCCCTTTCTCTAGGGAGAAACAAAACCTGAAGTGCAGAATTAAGATATGTGTTATTTTTCTTTCATAAAAATGGGGGGTGGACTTGGCTGAATTGAATTTTACAGGGTATGCAAATGATGCTAAGCTATAGGTTGCATTTACCCTTCTCTTTTTTGCCTTCCTCCTGAATGGTTTCTCATTCCTTTCTCCTCACAGAGGAAACACCAGGAAAATAATACCCTTAAACTGTACAACTTCAACCACCCTGAGATGGGGAAAGGAAATGCTCTTGCAAGCATTAGATTAGGCAGCCAAAGAAAAAAATAAATATTGACATGATTGATATATATAAATATATATATACATTTAAAGAAATAAATGTGTGAATATATGAATCAGAACAATAAGTGTATTCAATAATTTTGTGTGTCAGTTAACTTGACTACATCTGATTAGCTATAAAGACATTACCGTTAACCCAATAGAAAAGAAATTCTATTGAAAAACAGAAAGAAGCTTTTGTTGGAAAATCAGCAGAAAATTGTGCATAAAACCTGATGGGAGCCTCAAAATAATCTCATTAAAGTGGAACACACTTATTCAAGACAGACAAAAAGGGTTCACAGCAGTCTTAAAATCTGTTTTAAGAATTCCATTTTAACTCTTTCTCAAGTAGGGTTCTCTCCAATTACTCTATATTAAACTCTCTGACATTTTAATGTTCTAAGCAAAGTAAGGATTTGTCCAGAGTAAGTCATTTTAATACCCAAGCTACAGACCAGATCAACCTGATAAGGACAGAGCCAACCCATAAATCTGCCTTTCTGTAACTCAGAAGGAGACACTGCCCCTAACCTTTCCTTGGTGCCCACCCTCTCCTCACACAGGATTTCTGCAGACTTGTCAGGAAAGCCACTCTTTGTCAGGCTAAAAATAGGGACAAAGAAAGGAGAGGTTTCTTCTGATTTCCTCACTACATTACTACTCATATCTAATTGCATTATTGATGGAGACCTTTTTTTGTATGAAGATTTTAGTACTTGGGTGTTATTTTTCACTCTCTACAGCAACAAATCAGTTTTAGCTTCAGGACTTAAAGGCCAGTGGAACACATTCATATTCAAACACAGGACTGCTGTTTCTGTGTTTATGCAAGAATCTATTTCTATCTAACTTGTGGGACCTCCCTTCTGTGGATTTGTGCCTGAAATCCCCACCCTTCTCTACTTAAGCAGTAACTTCTATTTACACTTAGGAATTCACCTTTCTTCCTTTTCAGCAGGATCTCACTACATCCCCCAAAGCCTCCCCAGATCCTCAGCTTCTTTCCTGTTTGTCCCTCTGCCTGCTCTGACAGGCAGGCCATGAGGAACACCTGACTTGAACTCACATCATAGTGAGATTTTAGCCTTTATTTTCTCTCTGCCCTCAACAGAACTACTAAAATAAAATATTATACTGCAGTCAAATTTAGTTGCAGCAACAAGAACAGGATGGACAAAAATTTGATATATTGATCTCTTTTATTAGGAAGCTAGGGCTAAAATAAAATGCAAATATTTTAATTTAGTCTAAAATATTTGAAATGTGATTTTAACTGTATTTAAAAATTCCTTTAAGCTCCCTGAAACTAAAGAATGTCTAGTGATTTTTGTAAAATCTGGAAATGCATTAATATGACTCTCTCTGTTAAGTAAGGCAGCTAGAGATTTAAGAGCTTCTAATCCTTGATTTTATGCTCTCAGTGCAATGTTTTCTATGATCCAATTGCAATTTGCAGACTTTGAGCAAATTTTCCAATTATATAAATGTTCTTTTAATAGATACTTATGGCAATGCATTATTTTCTGTTCTGCAATAAATCAATGACTGCTGCCAGTCTTATCACTGCCAAATTGACCTCTGGTGCACAGCAAAGAGCAGGGAGCCACCTCCAGCCTCCCTTGCCACCCACAGGTGAGAGGGCTGGGAAGGCAAGACCCAAGTTTGGTGTCTCAGCAATTGTTCCAAAGGAGATTATCCCCCCTTTAGCAATGGAAACAGCTGGAAACATTTTCCTCTCGTCTCTATGGACATCTTGCTTTCTACATTCTACATCTTCAGTCTTTCCCTCCAGGGCCCCCACATTTTGTCTCCCACAGATCAATTCAGGGATTTAGCTCAGCAGAGCCCTTAACAATGCAAGTACCTGTTTTACTGGCAACTCTCTGAGACAAAAGCATGGAGCCCAGGACTGCTGTGCCATTTAGAGGAACATGAATGCACTCCACAACACTGCAAATTAATGTTGGAGAGAAGAAAAAGAGAGAAAATCAATTCTAAACTCTTCAATCAGATTACAGAAGTTTTAAGGAGGACTGGCTTTGAGAGTGTGCCCAATGCATCCTTGTGCTCAAGGCAATATTTCCTGCTTTTACACTTCAAGTGACATTTTCTACATGGGTGCAGACAATTGTAATGAGGCAGGAAAATAATCCTATAAGCCCTTTGTGAAGTTATATTTGAGGGATGCCCTTCTGTTTGAACAAACAGTTTCTGAAATACTAAGTAGAGTCAAAAACAATATGAGGGCATCTCTCTCTCTCAGAGGGGTCTTTTGGTGGTTGCATTCAGGAATAATTTGTGCTAGGAATGATTTGCAAGGCATATAGCAGGAAGTACTACAGGAAACCCCACAACTCAGACCTAACTGTAAAAAAAATAAATGATACTTCAAGAAGATGTCTCATAACAATTTAAGAAATAGGAGAATACTTTCTTACTTTGTTTTGCTTATTTTAAAATAAAAAATATCCAATTGTAATTTTCAGGGTTTCAGCAAATTTTCCAATTATACAAATGCTGTCTTTCAATGGATACTTATGGCAATACATTGATTGCTGCTGTCTGATAGATGAATGACTGCTAAAATAAGAACTCCTCTCTCCTTATTCACACCTTCCTGTAGTTATTCTGTCCAGCCCCTTCTAAGAGAATGTAAATCCAGTAACAACTGAATCAACCACACATCCTACAATGTTCAATCACATTTTAAATGTGAAAAAATTAATACTTGGTTCCTAATGACCACCCAACCCATATAACTTCTTTTGCTGTAGACTGCACGGGTGATAAAAATGGAACCAGCATTCAGAAGGTCTTGTTTATAGCTCAGATCAGTCTCAGTGCTTTTCAGTATTCATCTACAAGCTGGGATTCAATTGACATTGCAGACCAAAGGTTCTTTATAAAAACAAGGCCAATGTTAGTTCTTATTTAACAGTTGCTTCATATCCAAGGTGTCTCTATTGATTATTGTGCAGAGAATTGAATGTCCTTTCTTACCATTTCTTCCTGTTTTTCTTCCTCTGAAAGCATGATGCCAGGATGAATACACACAGCCACCAACAGGCCTGCCTAGAATTTAAGAGGAACATGGAATATTTGTGCTTAGATAACATCCAAAGAGAAACAAAAAGCTTTATAAGAAGCAGAACAGGTGAAGGTTGACTGAATTTACTAAGAATGTGCAACCAATCAGTAAAAGCTACAAAGAGATTTTCCCATTGTTTAGACATCAGTAAAGGTTGTATCAAGTTTAATAAGGACTGAACACACACACTCACCTTTTCCTAAATAGGATACACTGGAGATATCCTTCTGTAACAAATGTTTTCATTCCACAACATTTGTTGCATTTCTGAGACCTAATTGTCTTGGTTCAGCTAAAGGGGCAATAGTTCTTAAGAAAAGACAAAAATATCTCAGACATCTCTTCCTATATTCATTCACAAACAGCATAATGTCATAAATCTTCATTTTTATGGAAAAAAAAAAGCTGTAAGACTGATTTTGCTTATATTTATCATTTATAAAAGAGTGTCACTTATGTAAATTAAAGTTCAGGTTTAGACCTCTAAGTACCAATCAGTGTGAAAAGTAAGCTCCCATTTATTTTTTTGAGCAGCGTTTATTGGCAGAATTAAACTCTCCTGATATGCATTTTATTTATGTATGAGATATTCTACCCACTCCAACACCAATAGTTTGAAAAAAATAAATTATTTTTAAGGTTATTGAAAATTTGAACTTAGTTATTGAATAGCAGCAATTGTTCACAGAAATTCCTTTGCAGTGAACTACTCAAATAATGCCAAAATGCATTTGAACTCTAATTTTTAGTACCCTGGCTTTTGTTGATTTTAATTTTTCTCTTTGGACATACAAATGCATTCTAGATTTGACATCTTAGCTCTGAAGAGCCTTTAGTTTGCAGAATATTGAATAACCTTTTGACTGTAAAAACGTTCTACAAAGTGTTAGAAGCTAATTTGGCTTAGTTAAACATTAAGCGACAATCTTCCTGACCCCCATGTGAACCTTCCCACACTAATTTCCATTCCCATAGTGAGATTTAACATTTTTAACACATTTCTATTAAACTCACACAAAGCATAACTGTCTAATATCTTATCTAGCTGACAAATCATGCTGCTACTAAGCAATGAAGGTCTCTTCAATAAATGATACTCAACCAAATATGGACATTTCCTCCAGGCTTCATGGGGTCTAGAAAAGTAGAACCGGGCATTCCCCAGTATCAAGTGACATTTCTGATGGTTATTCAGGATCTCATTCATAAGAAGTAGGTGGAAGAATCCTGGAAATCTACAGAGTAAACTATCACTTTGTGATGATAAAGTATCTGGGCTCAAGTATCCAAAGGCAGAATCCAAGTGAATTCCCAACAGATTTCTGTTCTATCCCCAGCTCACCATGAGCTTTGTGTGGGATCTTAAAGAAGTAATTTTCCTTCTCCATGCTTCATCTCCTTGTCTTTCAGACAGGGATAGCAGCAACTCCTTTCCTCCCAGAACATGTGTGTGAAGTGTGTAGAGATCAAAAGACAAGGCAAAAATACCTATGTATTATTATAGATACAGGGATCAGATCTATGGTAAAAATCCAGGTAAAACTTCCATGCCAGGAAGAGAGGAACAGACACATTTTGTCATCCCATGCACTAAAAATCAGAACCAAAAAGGTAGCTGTAAACAAAGCAAGCAGCTTGTACTCTGGCATATTTCCTTGTACCTGGAATTGGAAACAACACAGCAAAAACTATTCACTCTGGGATGAAAAGTACATAAATATAACAGACGAGGCCTTTTAGTAACTCACTGACAACAACTGCCTACTGACTGGATGTGTTTGGAGTGTTCAGCATGGATTCAGGAGAAACAAAGGGCCCTAGGACTCTGGGAATGTGTGCAAACATCTGGAGTACATACAACCTATACCTGTAAACTTAACCAAACAAATCAGCTTGCTCTGCTCCTTATTTGAAACACTTTCCTTTTACAATGCATGGGAAAACCATAGCAATATCTGTTATACCATTTACGATTAAGAAAATCAGGAGGTAGACAGCTTAGATCTATAAAAGTGATTTGATATATTTGGCAATCCAACTTGGCCTGCCTGCAATGAGCTGTTAAATGAAATTTTGCACAGCCATGCCATCAGGCTTTATTCACTTGCCACATTTTATTCTGAAGGGTAAAACTGATGGCTAGGACTAATCACCTCAATCATTGCCAGGATTGTGTCAAATTTTGGGATGAGATTGATCCCATCTTACATAGGGATGGGGAGTGAGTGTGATTCATAAATAAAAGCAGAAATCACCAATCAAATTGAAGAGAGAGGTGGCCTTAAATACTAAAAACTTCCCCTTTCTAGGGGTGCAGTAGATCAGCATTTTGAAGAAATTCAGGTGAGATATTTAGTGGATTTCTTTAAAAATAATAATAAAGTAGATACATAAAACAATGTAGGCTTTGGGATTTTTTTTAAATTTTGTTTTTTAACCTGCAATAATTGCTGGATAAAACCTTAGTTCTTCAGAGAAAGGTTTTTTAAATGATAGAGAGAAATGGCTACACAGATCTCCCTGGGAACAGCAAATTCACCAAAAGCAGTGCTGGGGTGAAGGACATTAAAAGCTTTAAATCTATCACAGGTTTTACCCAGGATTTTCTTTTTGTGGACAAGCTGCTGAATTTTTCTCATTTCTATTCCCCTGTCAGTTCATGGACAACAGATGAAATGTAACTCCTCCTCCAGTACTTACAGATAAGAACAGGCATCAGAGCAGCAGTGATTCCAGCATTTGCAGCTGCAGTTGTATATTTTTATCACACATTGATTGATTCCTCAGTACCATATATGTTACCATCACTACCTATTCTGTGTGCTCAAGTGCAAAGTAGAGAAACAATTTTAAAAATATGTAAATCATTAGTTATTAAAAGGAGAAGGCTGAAGAGATTTCTTGTTTAAGAGATTTCTTAATTGCTGTAGAGTTTTCCTTTTATAGAACCCAGAAAAGACATCAGTGCCAGAAAAAAAGTCTGGTTCACCCAAACTCCTGGTGCTGTTTAAACAATTTATTTCATCATTTCTTGTAGCCAACACTTGGTTGCATTTCTGTTTACATACTCAGCAGGGGCCACCACCTTTGGGAAGAAAGATGAGAACATACTCACATTATGGTATCTGTAAGATTCATTGAGTCTTTAATGATTTCCATGAAGAGTCTTGCTGTGAAAGCAATGAACAAAGTCAACAAAAGGTCCACATACAGCATTCTTGTAATAACATTAAAATTAATAAAGTAAGTTTGTAGCTGTCTGACAAAGAATTGAAAAGTACAACATATTTATATATCACGCATCAGCTGATACTAAATGCAGCACATGTGAACAAGGCTGGGCTCAGTGAGAACAGCCTGTGCAAACTGGTCCAGACTCTGAGTGTGTGGCATGTAGATGGATGGCTCTTGCTTCATGAACAGATTTTCTTTTCCCAACTTGCAGTTTTAATGACAACAATACTCAAGACCCAGGCACAAAGAAGAAATATTGTCCTTAAAATCTCATGGGTTTAGTCACAGCAGCAACTAAATCATAGCAGTATTTTTTTTTTTTTTTAATAGAAACGTAGAGATAGCAAGAAATTCATTAAATTATATATACATATACAACTAGGCCCATGATAGGTAGCTAACTCAAAGTAACTTTTCAATGAATATCAGTATTTGGATGCTTTTACTTCACACTAAAACTAACTTTTGTTTTAAGATTTATTACCTTTTGAATTTTTTGATGACTTACATAAATCAAAACTATGCAAACAAGGATTTCTTGCTAAATTGTTCCAGTGTTTTTAAGCCAATTGGTTTGGTTTGATCTTCATAAAGTTACTGAAAAGAGAATGAAAACCCTCTCCAAACTGTACTTGATAGTATTGTGATGATTTCTATTACAGTGGTAACTGCAGAATCAACCTATCTATCAATCAGCACCAGAAGAGGGGAAGGCTAAAAGTAAAATGCTTTGCATTGTCAAGAAACAGCCTCTGGCAGTTCAATTAGGGATTACTTGCTCTTGTTCAGGTAAATGCTCTCCCAAGTGCACCGTTTCAAAAGGACTCTTGAAAGGCATTTCTAGACAAGTGGGTGGCTCCCCACTCCTCCTTCTCAGATGTTTGCAGCTGTAGGGGCAGGAAGTTTCCTTTCATTTATTTCCTGCTCTCTGGCAGCCAGCTCTCAAATCAGTCTCTTCTGCACCACATAGCTAGCAGAGTGACCTTCCACATGAAATCAGATTATTGTGTATTTTTCAGTAGTCTCATCCCTTTTTTTATTAGGCATGAGCATTTTGGGGTTCTGGACCCTTTTAATCCGTTGTATATTATTTTGTTTCCCTACTACTTTTTTTTTTACCCTCTCGCAGCAAAGTTCAGTGATGCCTCTCATGTCAGCAGTGTCAAATTTATTTCTATGAAGTCAGAAATCCTGGCCTTATGCAGGATTCTGTGTCAGGAACACAACAAATGGGCAGCTCTGTAATTAAAAGTGGCTGTCCAGGAGAGAGAATTAAACTTCTGAACTGGGGGAATAAAGACTCTTTTACATGTTTACCCAGAAATTGTTGCTTTTCGTGGAACCTAGACTTAGTGCAAAAAAATACGATCTATAGGGCATATGGGAACTTTTTTACATGGCAATAAAGGCAAAAATACAGTAAAAATAGACATTTTTATCCCTATTCTCTGGAAATTTTAAACTAAACATGTCTATGAATTTTCTCAGAATGTCACTTGGTGATACACCAATGAATTCACCCAGTTTGACAATTCAATGAAAATATTAAAAACTCAACATGGGTTGTTTTCAACTGAAATTTCCCATGCTGTCTGTGAACCACTGCATGCAGATCTAGATGACTGGATTAAAAAGCTAAAAAAGAAAGTTGTGTTTTCAGTGGTAAAATCATCAGAATAACAAAGAGAAAGCAGCCACAAGCCTTTCAGTTTCCAAAGCACAACAAAAGAAAAAGCAGGAAGAATAAGGATATATAGAAGTCCTGACTGAATAGGAAGCTGTGCCTACACTTACATTTAGGCCATGATACCACAATATCACTGATGCCCTAGGACTTACACACTCTTCTAATTTCTATCTTTGCAATAGGGTCAATTATTCCTCGACAGGACCTAGATGCTTTCTATTATTATTAAATATACCTTGTCAAATACAAAAATATACTCTGGCTACACTAAAACTACTGGAATGCACAGGCCACTAGAGTTTTTTGTCATTACTGGTGGCATTTTTTTTTGTTTGTTTGGGAAAGAGAAGGAGGGGGTGTCTTTTAATTCTGGTGATCCCCTTTTAATTTCCTCATAGCTAATACCAACCCTGGAATCTTAATTTTATCCCACTTATTTCTGTGTTCTGCTTTTTCCCCCATCCATCTCTGTCTGCCTTCAATTTTCTGCCATTAAAGAGGGAGAACTCTTGAGCACCACCACACCTGAAAAACAAACAGACATTTATATGAGCTCAGAGCTTTTTTTTCATAAAACAGAAAGGAAAACGTGTGACACTAATGTGATATTCAGAAGGCAGCACAGCTTATTTTATTTGTCTCTTACTATCGATTCCTTTATCCTTGGTCTGATTTGGTTAAGTTCTTCAGGCCCATTGTTAAACACAGCATAACCCACCTCCTTCTGTCCTGACCCTACACAGAATAATAATGAGCACGTCCTTGAGGGAGCAGAGACAAAGTTACTCTGGTGGTATTTTTTGTTTGAAAAAGGAAAAAAAGGAATAACAAATTCTTTGGTGTGTCTTCCTTGTTGTTGCCATACCCATGTTGATTTCCGAGTGAGGTACTGGCTCACATCCCAAATCTGAGATTCCTGCTAGCTCCCAGGCCAAGTGGGATGCATTTGAATACCCTCATTTTCCAGCTGCAAACTTCTTTATCCTGCCAGGCACATCATTTTGGATAGCTTGTGCTCAAAGTCACCCGGTGAACTACAAAAGAAGACTGAAGTAAATGTACTTCAGCTCAGGTGCTAAGGACACTTTACAGTTTTAAACATCTAAAAATGCATGAGGAGGTCTGGTTTGGTGTTTTTAAACAAAACAGAGGCTAGTTAAGAGAGTCAATTTGACTTTAAAGAAGATTGGCAGAGACACTTGACACATATTTAGTCCAGGCTACAAATAAAAAAATCAATCACAGATTTAAGCTTTGAATCACACCTGACACCACCTGTGTAAACTTTGAAACCCTGAGCCCACCTGTTGCTCAGGTGCAGCCACTGCAACCACTGCAATGTTAATTGTCTACATAAAAATTATTGTTTGGCTGATTAAGTTCTTGCCTCCCCCAACTTTTAAAAAGGGAAAAAATTAGGAAAAAATAAATTCATCAAATTCAAAAAGGTCCCTTTGAAGAAGACAATTCTGTCACATCTATCATTGCCTATAAGAAATATGTTTGACTGAACAGCACAAAACAAAATTATCTTGGAAAAAAGAAAGCTTTGGTAAAAAAAAAAAAAAAAAAAAAAAGCCCAAACTCTCATGTAAATACTAGCAATCTAAAGCAATCTAACCTTGACGCACACAATTCTCTGAATTCTTTGTGCCTACTGGCAGCTTCCTGAGAGCAATTATTTTAACAGAGATACCAGACCATCCTTGTATGATCTGTATGAAGCACACTTGCCCTCCTAAGAACATCCATTTCCAAGGTTTAAAATTATTCTAAGTTATCCTAAGAACACCCATTTCCAAAGGAATAAAGTTATTCCACAACAAAAGGGAGACTAAGACACTTGGACCAAGTAGTTGCTTCACTATTAAATGAAATAATAACATTAATAGCAAGGCTCAGTATCTGGTCAGAAACACCCTTAAAATGGAAGCACCTGCTTCACATAAGGTTGATAGTTATTTGGGCTGGAGAAGAGCAGAATAATGATCCCTGCTCGTGGGAAAAGGGCCTGGGCTGTGTTTTTCAGCAAAAGTCTGAAAATTTAACTCTAGATTGAAAGGAAGAATTGCAACAGCTGAAGCTAAAAAAAAAAAAAAAAAATCAATCTTCCCAAACAAAATCAGTGCTGCCCACAGAAAACATCAGAAAAGGCTGTGTTTGCCCACAAGATGTGTCTGCCCACACCATTAGGGTTTGAGACACACAGGAGGGCCAGGTTTGGTTCTTGGAAATGGATGGACCCTCTCCTGCACACATTTAAAGCACTTTTCCAGTTAAGCCTCTATTTTATTAGAAATCTTCACTCCTCTTCCTATGGAAGACCTATCATAGTTATAAGGTTGCAATTTAAGCAGTTTTGCCTCTCAAAGGAAGTTATATATCCAACATTAATTCCGCTGAATCCATTTCACTAAGAAAATGAGTGATACATCTGCCAACTTCCATCAGCAAAAGAATTACTTTTTTCATTCTCCTTCTTTTATATAATTTGTGGTAGTCAGTTACAGAGTTATGGGTCTTCAAATACTTCATAAGTATTTTCAGCAGATTTTTAAAGGATATTTTTCATAGCATATCCTACACCAAGTATCCATAACACATGAAATTACTTCACTTCCCAGCAACACAGGACATCAGGAATCACACCAAAGTTGCCCTTGTAAAAGCTTGTTTAGTAGGGAGATAAGAGGATACAAATGTCTCATAATGTGATGCATATCATAATCAGCATGTAAGGAAAGGACACTGTCAAAAAGCACATATAGATAACAACGTGATGCAGATAAAATGGCATTTGGCTTCTCTGAAGTCTGTCTTACCCTCCCACCTCAGACACTGGCATCAACAAGAGGTTTTGGCAAGCAAAGGGATTTTTCTAAAATAAAAACATCAACCTGATCTGTGATAAAGTTACAGTATTAGTCTATCCACCTTGTGTGAACATCATAAAAGTAATAAACACATACGTTTGTTTGTAACAAACACTGAAATAAAACCAAATGCAAAACAAAACTATTATGAGTTATACCGTATTTTATGTGTTTCAAAGTTTCCCAAGTTCTGTAGCTACCCACTTTTTTCAAAGGGGAAAGTGTTGTTTGTATTTTCACTTGTAAAGAAGGTATTTTAGCTTCCATTCATTGTACATGAATTATTCATTGCTGGTAAAACATCAGGATCTTCTGCATTTCCTTTCCCCAGAAGATACTTTAGTTTTAACAAAATGAGAGACCCTCATTGAAGTAGACTGAGAAGCACCAGTCTCATTACAGTATCTTTTCAATACACAGAAGACAAAAGAAAAAGGATAATATTTTGACCTGCAATGTGTATATGTTTTATACATACACATATATATGCATATTTTGGTTTTTTCTAGCACAATATCAGCAGCAATATTTCAGTATGTAACTTAGGTCCCAAGCAACATTCTTACACCCTAATTACAAAGTAGTAGGTAAAAATATGGAGAATGGATTTCAAGAGGAGTAATGTATTGTTTTCCTCCTTTTATTAAAAGGCCTAGAAATATAGAAAATCAACAAAAAATATTAAGAATTGATTTAATATGGTCATAATTTAGAAACAAAGCTATGCAAATAGGTCCCAAAAATTATAATACCAATCTGAGTGTTGTAAGAAAAAAATTCATTTGCTTTCCTTTATTTCTTTTTTTTTTTCTGTCTTGTAAAACCATCAGCAATGTTAGATCTGGCAGCAGTTCTAAGCTTATTTGCTAGATTCTTTTTTCTTGAAAGTCATTACATGTATTTCTCACATCCTCACTGAAATTCTGCTTCTCCCCCAGCCCACTCATTCCACAGGGGGCAATTTCCCATCTCTGTCATTCAACACGCTGCATTTGCCTGCACTTGACCATCAACCTGCAAGCAATAGGGCTTTTTAGTGCCACTTTGGACATTAACAATTACACAGGATGAACATTTATTTTATGCCTAGATATTACTTCCCTTAGAAAAATCACTCTAGTAAGACCATCCCTATTAGCAGTATTTGTCAGAGGCCAGTGCTCACTGACCAGGCTCATTTACATATTTTAAAAGTGTAAGGTGCATTGTTTAATAGAAAATGTAAAGATTTGAAGACAGTCAATGTGACACCAGATTTCTGATTTGGTGGAATGGTACAAAATATGTTGCATAAAGGTAGATTATACTTGAAGATAGAGATATTATGTCAGCTGCAATATGCAATTGAATCACAATTTCAGGGTGACTGCCATACCAGTCTCCAGAACAGGCTCTCTGTCAGGATGCTGGGCAGCCCATGTCACTGTGAGAGAGTTCATGGGTTAAAACAGCTCAGGTCTGTTGCTCTCTTCAGTTTTTACCCTCTTATGTTGGTTTTGGGGGTCTATTGGCAAATCAGAATATACTAGCTGCTCTTTCATAATTTGACATTCTTTAGATTCCTGTGTAGAGGAAGTGAAATCCTTTGTCCATCATTGTGGAAGAGGTTTTACAGTGACTTCTGTGAGCCAGAGAGAAGTTTGATAAGAGAATACATGTTTACCCCTGAAAGAATTTTCTACCAAGGTCGTTGACATAGAAACCAAGAAAGAAAGAAGGATAAATAAGAGAAACCTGCAACTGGCCATTCCAATAAGCACTTTGTTAGTCTCTCATGACCAATGAGTAAAGTGTAAACTTCTGAGTTTTGTAAGAATGTATAAAAAGCATGCATGCTATAATAAAATCAGGTTTGAAGCCTTCTGAGAATGGAGGGCTGCTTTGTATTGTGACAGTCTCAACTGTGACATATCATTAACAAGCAGCATTCCCTGCCCATATATTCCCGTGGTGTTACTTTGCCAGGGGAGAAAGCACAAGGCAAGCCACAGTGATTTTATTTCTGAGTATTTGAATTATTTATAGTTATCATTTCTAAGAGAAATATCTTGGTGCATTCATTAAACACTGATAATATATGTCTAATATACCAGATGAAAGACAGATTGAAACATATAGCAGAGCACTTCATTTTGCAAATAAAATTAACACATTTCATTTAATGTTAGCATGCAGAAAACTTTAAACTCCTCTGCCATCCAGCTCAGTTTAACTAAGAGAACCAAAAACTACCCTTTTGTTAGGAATGGTAAAAGACAAGAAACTTACTAGCACAAAAAAATAAAAATCTGTTGCTTTAAGAACTGCTTTACCTAAGAGCTATTAGCAAGAGTAAAATTATCCTGTCTCTCACTCCACACTTTCCACTCCCTTGTGAAGTTGGGTTTAGTACCCCAGAGCTAACCTGTGATTAATGAATTTCAGGGTCTGTATAGCAAATCTGGAGAAAAAATCTAGGGCCCAGTGAAAACAAACCAAGTTCTGCAAACGGAAGCACAAGTAGTATGGCAATATTTTCTTGAAATACTTATGAAGTTCTGTACTTCCAATGTAAACACAGCCACCAGCAGCCTTAATAATGACGAGATGTAGTTTGCACTGAAAGGAGATTTATAGCAGGCAACCTCACCATGGCAGAGAGCATATTCCTGAAAACCTTTGAATTTGCAGGCAATGACAGAAGAGGAATTAAACCTCACACTGCACGACTGAAAGCCAGACAAGAATTGTTTCTTCTTTTCAGTAGGACAATGAGGAGTTGGGCTTGGACTTCTAATTACAGACCAGCTGTCCTGTGTGAGCAGCAGCAAATAACACATCCTGCACTCAGCTGGCCAAAGCCAGCTCAGGCTGTGTCTCATTTTGGCAGGAACTCTGCTCCATCAGGAACACAAGAGTGTTCAACTCCATGGGACAATCCACATCCAAGGTAGTCCAATTTGGTTTACAATGAGATCTAAAACTGTGAAGATGGCTGTGTGTTAGCTCCAGTTCACCACACCACACTCTGAAATATCACCCAAAACCACTGGGGAAATGCATCCAAAGCATCACTTTTAATACTTGAAGTGTAGTTGTCTAGAAGACAGGAAAGTTTAATTAACTCTTTATCAAGGTCCTTTTATTTCATTTTGGTTCTTAACTTTTTTAAAATCAAGGGCAAACCTGTCAGAGACCTTCTTTATACTACCAGAGGGACATAAAGATGGCAGTATTCAGGCAGGAGAAAAACAAACAAACAAAAAGATGTTCTTCTGTACCATGGATATATTGAAACTACACAATACATTTCCAATTTTTTCTAATTATCCTGGTCCAACATTTCTGTAATTCCATTAATTCATGATAATTGTTCTGTTTCTTTTATTGTTTGCATTTACTAATTGTTAAAGGGGCAAAAGAAAAGCAAACCTTATATCTTATGGAAATAAGGCACTTGCATGTTTTGTTCCACTCATGATTTAGCAATGTCTTTGGTGCAAAAAAATACAGAAAGTGCACATGAAAATGTATGAACTCTAAGTCATATACTTGCATTCATGTGGCCAATTTTGTATTTCACAAGCATAAATTTTGTGCCTCAACTACATGTCCATTAGCACTGATTTTTTTTATATCTCTTGACTTATAGATAATCATCCAATAACCAAGTCTCCATTGTCACCTGCATTTTTCATACCAAATTTCAGAGGAAGAGA